AAGGATTTTTTTACTATTTTCTTTCTTTTCCATGCCAAGCCTATGTTACTTATTCTTGTTTTTTTTTTAATGGAGCAGTAAATAGCGGTGGATACAGCAGATAGCTCAATGTGGTTTTGTTAAAAAACAAACAAATAAAAAAAACATTATTAGTTGCGGGTAAAGTTTATTATTTAACATTATTTATTTTTAAACAATTATTATCCGCAGAGTTTCGCTGTATTAATTACAACACACTGCAACAGCCTGAAATAAACTTAACACTGTTTTCAACAAGTATACGTTTTTCTTGGTAGAGGGAAAAAAAAACCTTGATCATGGTAAACAAGCATAGGACGATTTCAATGTTTTGTTATAATTTCACCAAAATTGTAATCGCGATTTTCAACATTTCTTTTAACATATACATAAGATTATGCCAAGAAATCTAAAGCCTTCATATCATTATCAGTATTAGTTTTAAAGGAATAGTTGTATATTATACTTGACTTAAATGAATTACAAAACAAGAAAGAAAGTGAATAACACCTCCGAAGTGACTCAACGGTAATTCCGAAGGCTTATAAAGTTAAAATCGGGTTTCGATACCAGTGGTGGGCACAGCACAGACAGCCCATTGTGTAGTTTTGTACTTAAAAAAACCCCAAAAAAACAGTAGTAATTAAGATTCAAAAATTATATTGTACATCTTCTCTGTTAAAGCATATTTAGAGAAATATTTACTAATACCAGATATGTCAAATCAGCTATAATGTTAGACATAAATACAAAATTTCACGCGTAGTTCTTAACCCTGATGTTTAGCTTGGAGCAAGGAAGTCTGATTTATAACCATTGTCATCTGATGAATTATTATCATTATTATTTAGGAGTTTCTAGAAATGTAGCCATTTCAGTCATGGGCGTCCGCAGGGGGGGACAAAAGGGGGTACATGCCCCCCCCCCCTCGTAAAATAAGAAACATAGTTCTTTCTTTATTAATTCAGCCTATGGATATTAATTTTTTATTCAGTTCACAATTTCACACTACTTTGCATCCGCCCCCCCCCCCCGCCAAAACTTTCTGCTGGCGCCCATGGTTTCAGAAAATTCATCATCTCGGAAGCTTCTAGAGATGAAGTGACATTTTATGTGGTTTTAAAAGCTTAGAAATGAAACTCAATTAAGCGTAAGTGGACCTAGACACCATGTTGAACTAATGTTTTCCGTCGTGCTGGAATACAGAACCTTGGGGTGATGGTCAACAAACAATAGCTACCGAAGAACAACCGGCAGTCGTCCCCAACCGAGCGAGCGCATTGATCATTTTCATCCTAAAGTAAGAACTGCGCCGCGTCTCGGAAAGACAGAACCCCTTCAATATCTAGAATTCTAGACTTAAGCAGGAGGGATGATTTCCCTGTCGCGCTTAGTGAGGTCTTCCCTTTCTGCTTCATAGATTGTTTTGTGTTTGTGCACACGTAGAGCAGTATTTATTTGCTAAGAATTCGGGCCGTCATCAGAAACCCTCCTGGGGTCCTTCTTCCCCAGGGTACGTGCCTGTACTTATCAATATATGATATACTATGCTGTCACCGGCAGGCCTGCAAGATGTCAACGACAGAGAAAGATCACAAAGGTACCGACTTTTTGTTGTTGTTGTTGTTGTTTTTAAACCGCGGTACGCTTTATAAAACTCTTAATATATATATATACATGAAATTATACACTATATAAAATTTTAGAGTTCGTGCAGATATATTAAATACAAATATACATATAATACTTTTGTGGTTCTTCAAGTACTCAATGCTATATATGTATGTTACCTCAAACTGTACTTTGGAATGAATAGACGAAATATGACGCCCTCTGGTAATAAACTTCGCTCACCAACTAATCACAAACAGGATCTCATGTGACCAAATATTTTGCTTTACGTTCGTAGAAGATCAAGAAGTGGTGACTGATAAATTTGTATCAGAAAATCTAAAGATATATTATTATATATACTGTACTAATATGATTTATATATATATATATGTAGTAAAACTCTATATTTACTTTGTAGATTTAACTACGACAAAGCACGAAAGCGACCACTCCGTCGACAAATGATGACAGACTCCACTCAATATATGAGAGGATATGGCTTTATGTGACTGATATGTTACAAGTGATTGATTTTCCACCTCTCAGCTCATCAACAAAGCAAGAAAAGCCAAGCGCGTGACTACAGATATATGTGCCAAGGAACTGCACGAGGTTTTGGAAGTACTTTCATACCCGTATCTTAGTAATTAATGCGCGTATAAGTACATGGAATACATTTCATACATACATACATACACCTCTTGAAAATATAGAAAAGTATCTGACTTGGAACCCCTCTAAAAACTGAAATCACAAAGAACATAAAATTAAAAATAGCGTTCTCCAGTGTTCACCTGACATCATATAGAAATAATTAAAAACATTTTTTTTTGTCTCCGATGGGTTAGCCGTGAGTTTACGGACTTACAACCTTAAAATTCAGGGTTTGATTCCCTGCGGTTGACAAAGCACACAGACAACCCATTGTGTAGAATTGCGCTAAAACAAACAAATAGACAAAGCAACATTTTCCTATTGTTCAAGTGATATCATTTGCGAGTGATCCGAAATATTAATAAGTGAAAACCTGATATTACCCTGAAATGAATTAAAATAATAAACAAAGTGTTTTAAAAAAAATGTTACACGTTTGTTCACCCGGCATCATATGGAAATTATTTAAAAAAATAAATTAAAAACAACATTTCGGTTCATCTGGTGTCATCTAGTGACAGAAGACATCAAGCGATCATTGGCGAAAATTTATCTTTATTTACATTTCTTAATTATTCCCCATTTAAGCCTAATATGAGCTTTTGATTTAAAATACAAAAATCCTCCTCCAATTTTGACTACTTTCTCCACTGTAGTGGCTCAGCTCAGCAGTAGAATTGAGGGCTTATAATGCTAACATTCGAAGTTGGATCTCTGCGATGGGCACAGCACAGATAGCCCATAGTGAAGCTTTACGCATACTAGACATTGGTCGAATTGTAGCTGCGTAACAAGAATAACTCTATAAGAATGAACATATAACCAAAAGAAATACAGGTTTCCACCTATAGACAGA